TTTTGGTGATGCTGTTGCTGCTCTCAGATCCCCGACATGTACCCAGACCAAAACGCCCCTTATATTGGATTCTATTACCTCTTTTGAGTTTTGATTATACAGTAAATTCAGGCAAACACTCTCTTCACCTTTAGTCCTCAATATCATCGTCACTCAGAACAAGCTTCTGCGCAAACCCCGTCGTTACAGAATCCGCCTTGACACCTGCCGCCCTCTTCTTGGGGCTTGCCTCCTCTGATGGCTTGTCCGTTGCCCATGCCTCGCGCGTTGATGTGTCTTCCTCCTCTGTATCTGACGAGCCCTCATCCCCGGCCCCGATTCCCTTAAACGAGACCACCTTCTCGAGGTCCTGTAGGCGTATGCCCCCAGACTTTGCACGGTTGCCGCGGGCAATGTGCGCCATGTACGGGAGCCGCTCAAGCAGGAGCTCGCGGCGAGCTGCACTTCCCAATGAGAGGATGGGCACGCCGTCGTTATCGTTGTCCTCTGGCTCAGGTGCCTTGGGAGCGGACTGTTGTTGGCGGTTTTGGTGTTGGCGGTGCATCCAGGACAGATCGCTCGGCTGCTTAGGTTTTCGGAATGCGCCTGCCCCGTCAGTCAGGTTCTTCGTCGCCGCGTTGAACTCGCCCTTGAGAAGTCTCGACGACCAGACATCCACGAGCCCTTCGAGGTTCTCCCTTTCCCGCCAGAGCTTCAAACTCATCGGGTAGTACATTTTGAATGCATCAGCCCCCTTCAAGGCCGTGGTCGGCTTTCTCCGGACGGGGTAGGGCAGTGCAAATAGTAGCCCACGGACAGCAACCTGAAATGCAATCTCGTCTTGACGAATAATATGGCTCCCCGAATCAGCCCCCAAGAACCCGCCGCCTCTGCCCGCTGAGCTGAACTCCCTTGACGGGCAAACAAGGTCGCTCAGTGATAGTGCCTCGATACAGTCATTGAGGTATTCCATCGGCGTTGTGAGATCGGAATCATCTGCTCCTTCGCACGAGGCAGCAAAATTCTCATGCAGGGCCGATATAAACGTTGAGGTGTCCGTCCCCGTTTCATCGATAAGCGTGTCCACCGAGACTTGAGACTTCCTCGGTCTTGAAAGGTGCGAGAGGTAGAATGGTAGGTTTTCGACCTTGTCCCCAGGCACAGGCGGGTCTCGTTTGTTGTATACGACTTTGCCGACAGCATGAAACATTCCCAAGCTTGCTTCCCGCTGCGAAATCAATTCTAGACTCTCCGATTCGCTCTTCGTGAGCGCGATGCCGTTCCGAACGCTCTTCTTCCCATTGATATATGCCACCCTTGACCCCCAGTCTGCTTCTTGGTCGCCCTTGAGGCACAGGAACTCGAGTGACGAAATTGCGCTTCGAATATCGCCAATCTCCCCCAGTCTCTGCAACACGGCGGGTCCGGGTGTCTTTTTCCTTCCCGATCTCCGGGCCTCCTTCTGTACAACGAGGTCAAGAGCCTTTGCCAAATATGTAGGCGCAATCGCATTGAATTCGATGACCTTGACGCCGGGATGGCGCAGGAGATCGGGTCCGAGGAGTCGGTGCGCAGTGAAGCTGTCTGCCGACGATGAAGTAGTTGTCAAAAGCGCTTCTGAAATGATCATTACCACTGGTTTGACAGGGTCTTTCTTAGACTCTGGCTGTAAGAATGAGGCAGACGGCGTGTCTCTAGAGAGATAGCCGAGAAGGGAGTTCCGAAATGAGGTCAGAGCTGTTGACGATCGAGAAAAGGTATTGGGAAACTCCTCTATCAGCATCACCTGCCGAGGCTGATCCCGTGGAGCGCTGTTGCTTGGCGTGCTGAACGGGGTTGGGGAATCATCATCAAGATCCAAGGCGCCAAACTTGCTTCCACGGCCAAGGAACTCATCGAACTGGGCTGAAGCCGACACAAAGCCCATACCGGGCGCATTTGTAGGATTCTTCCACTCCAACAGCTCGAAACTCATATCCTTCGCCAGTAACCGCATCGTTGTAGTTTTCCCCGATCCAGCTGCTCCCTTCAAGATCAGCACCCGCTGATGAAGGCGACCAGCCATTACATCATCTAGCCATCGCTTCACGTCGGAGACCTTTTTCTTGTGAACTGCCAACTCGTCTAGGTTTCGAGGGCCGAACCGCTCCGACCATGGCCTCGTTTCCTCGTCTGAGCTTTCAGCCCCGAAAGGCTTGGATGGTTTTAAGAATCGCAGGCTGGGCGCCGCGCTGCTCAATGGCGCCGCGAACTGAGCTCCGTTCCTTGCCCTTTTCTTCGCATGCTTCCCGACGAAGCTCGATGTGCTCGCCTTGAGTTCTGAGATGTCGTCGTCGTCCGAGATCGGGTCGCTTATCACGTCCTTCGCCGGCAGAGTCGCCTTTGTCTGGCCAAGCCCGGAGGTCCGCTGTGTCTGGCGCGAGAAGAGGGTCTTCAGGTCGGCGGATTTGCCCTTCTCCGACCCATTGAAAAAGTCCTTGGAGCGCCTCGTGCTGGGACTCGCGCCTTTCTTCTGGGCCTTGGTGGTGGCGGCGGCGGCGGCTGACTTTTTGGGAGAGGCCTTGGTCACGGGTTTGGAGGGGCTTTGCGAAGAAGGCCGCGTCTGGGGCTTGGAGGGCGAGCTGGAGGTGAAGAAATTGGTCAAGGTGTTCGTAGATCGGGGCTGGTCATCGTCGTCGTCGTCGTCCGAGGCAAGGACCGTATCACGCCTTCGACGCTTCGCGGGGGGAGCCATCAACGCGACAGGGCCGAAGGCGAGGCGAAAGACGTCCTTCTCGTGAAGGCTGCCCGTTTGGGGTGCATCGGATGGTCGAGTGCGGCGGTCGTTGAGGGTCGTATTTCGTGTTCTGTTAGATGAAAGGATATTATCTACGACTGATTGTTGGGCTGGGGATGAAAGCTGGGCAACCACTTAAAGCGCTGGAGATCAGACCCCAGCGACCGCCGATCGCGTTAAATGGGCCTGCTCCAGGCACTTCACGTCTGACGCTCAGTGACCTCACCCCGCTGAACCACCACCTATGAATGCCAAATCACTTCATCTCACCCACCTACAAATTCAGTAGGTACTGAGATATATCTCCAGCGGTTATGTTTACTCCGTCGGCTTCTCATGTTCAATTCACATCATTTAATGGATACGTTGTAATGTAGATATTGAGATATGGTCCAGAGAAACACCAACATGAATATCCATCGTGAGTCTCAGTGCACGACCCACCACTCAAAGGTGATGGCATATATTTATTTCATCTCAAATTTCAGGCTTGTTCATAAAATATGATGAATTAGTGGAGTGCTATCATACTCATATGCCAAATAAATTAAAACGCCCAACCTTCGAAATTATCAACAAACGTGACCGCTGCGCGCAGATACTTTTCCTCCGCATCACCCCAGGTCTTGGCTGCCTCCTTCATGGATCGAATAGCTGTAATGAGTCACCATTAGCTGAGGATCTCACACGGAATATGTGAGAAATGACCAACCTTTGACATAGTGGGCGTCATGGGCCCAGGGTGAGTTGATAGCTCGGTCTTGCACATATTTCCACGTCTTCCCGTCGACGTTCTTCTCGACACTGTCGGGATCGGGGCGAGGGCGGTTCTTCATGAGCATGACACTAATGACGAGCAACCACCACTGGCGGACGAGAGGCACGCGGTACTCTTGAGGGAAGAAAGGCAGCAGGATGCGGACCGCATGGCTCGTCGTGAGGAGGTGGACCACGAAAAAGTTGTAAGCGTGTGTCTTGGGCGCAACTGAGGAAACAAACAAGGCTACCGCGGCCTCCTGCGATAGCTCAAATGCCTTGTGCGGGTTATCAAGGTTCCACCCATTCCAGTACTCGAGGATAAGTTCTTCGTGCTCGTTGAAGATGCTCTCCAAGTCACTGTAGTCCGGGTTGCGTGGCAGGCTATCGAAGCGTTTGTCATCTGCCATCTTGGTCAGAAGATCTAGAGGAGAGCTGGAGTTTAGAGGCGATGGCTTCGTGTAGGAGCTGTCATCAAGATACTTGTGCAGGAAATTGTATTGGACAGCTAAGAGAGACAAAGCTTCTGTAGCCAGCTCCTTACTATCCACCTCATATGCAAATCCTAGATGGATAAGAGGGTGCCCAACTAATAATGTGCGTCAGCTGTCTAGTTCATCTCAGATTCGGGGCAGTGTCAAGTATCATACGCCCACTAATTAATCCATGGAGGAGGGGTGTTTCAGCATGGAAGAGGAAATGCTCAACCTCCTTCTTCCAGGCATAAGAGTAATTCATTACGAGTTTGTCTTCGAAGTAATCCAGGTAGGCCCGCTGATACCTCCTGTCCCCGAGGAAATCTTGCCAGTCAAGGTCTGCGACCTCAGCGGGCGAAGACTTCCAAGGTTCGAGCTCTTTGATCTGTTTCTCATATACTTCATTCAGCTGGACGTCATTGGCGCCAAGGAAGTATGCAGAGGCGAGAATGTGTGGGTTGTGGTTGTCAAATTGCAAGTTGTGATAGACGACTGAGTAGTTGACATGGTTTGCCTTAATGAGATGCTTCAGGCACCGAGCCCTCTTGTCCGGGTTTGTCTCAACCTGGTCAACATCGACTGAGGGCAAGTTGATGGATCTGGAACCGGATCCTATCCCCGTTATCTTGCCAAGGATCGGTACTGATGATAGAAATCCTGCCATGTCTGCGATTGATGACTGTGAGGAGGAAGAGCGTGCTGATGTCAATGTGACGATCTATGACCACTTGCGACAGCTACCGAATAATTTATATTAGAACAGGTACGTATCTATGGAAATCTACGAGTGGGGTGTCAACCGACACAGAGACTTGGGGAAAGCATTGTTGGGGATCTCGGCTCTCAATTAAATCCACTGAGAAGGCAGCTGACTAAGGCAGCGCCCAACACTGACATGATTATGTAATTCTTGCTCTCCACTGTCCTTTCGATCAGCATCCGAGAGCGCGTCTCTAACTCCGCGTCAATCCAAGGCATGCATCACAAGAAGATACCAAGGATCGGCAGACATGATGAATCCATCACCTGAAAGCAGTGCGTGCATCTATGCTGAGTTACTAGTCAATATCAGGCAAGTATCTGTGGTTGCAAACCTGCCGTCCCCTGTGGATGGCTCAACCAAGGCCGTGATTGATGGCCAGACAATCCGGCTACAACACCAATCCCAATCCAGCACCTTGGTTATACCCGCCCGGGTCGTAGCACCCCCCGTTCTCCCTCTACCGGATCCAGAGCAACGGACGGTAAAACTAAGCTGGAGACTCCCTTTGTCGACAGCAGTACCCAAACCAGCCAGTCTCTCGTTAGAGGGCCAAGCTTTGCCTTGGGGTTCCGTCGACATACAGAAAGAATCACCTATTCAATGCCGAGGATGCCATCATGAGATAGTGCCTCGGGGGACCATAAAAGAGTGGAAAGATTTGCCCAGTGAGAATTGGGCGGAGATGATGGAGTTTTGGCATTGCCATAAACCCCATGATCATGAGAAACACGATGATGAAAAACTTACACAACGTGGCTACGGGGCAAGTAATGCGATAGCGGCCCAGCCAAACGTTGGGTTTGTCGACCTCACTTCCTTCATGGTCGCTGAATCGGATTGTAATGGTCTACTGGTGAGTACATACCTCGCCCAACCCAAACCCCCGACCAAGCGTGCTCTACTTCTACGTCGACGGGGGGGAAGAAGTTGGCCAAGCCGGTTCTCGTAACCTCTCAATGCTGCGGTCAGCGATACAAACCCCCAAGAACGAAGTGAATGTTGTTCCCTACTTTAGGGCGGTCGAATCTCTCAAAAACCTTCCCTTTGTCGGAATGGGTTTTGGCAGTGAGATCGAAGACATAGTCCCTTTCTTTTCAACTCGCCGTCCAGAGATGTGGCTGTTGAGAGATTTAACAGGAGATACATGCAATTTTTTCAATACAAGCACATCTAGTCGGGTTGGATTTCGGTCACGCTCTCCCTTCGGTACTAATGGCGAATAGTACTCTCCTTCCATGAAAGAATCGGGTTTCCAATCAAGCGAACTCGCTCTAGCAGCTGATCCGTCATCGAAGTGGCAACATATATCTTGCAAGGCCTGTCAGTCTGAAGTTGGAATCTACAATGTCGCAGCATCATCGCTATCTTTATTCAAGTGGCAGACGCTGTGTCAAACAGAGGCACCCATGCCTGTCCCCAACAGCATCCACTGCCTTGCTGCTACTCTAACCGCCTCGATCTCGCGGACCGGGTCTTCGAAATTTGTCGTCCTACCGCACCTCCTGTCTCAGAAGAATGAGAACGCGTCGGGAAACCCAGCGAAGGCACTTCATCTCTGGGTGTTAAATCCTTATGTTGTATATGCAAGCTCAAAGCTCGAGACCAAAAAGACGGCCATGAAGATCCTCTATCAATTCCTCGATGTCGAGCAAGGTAACAAACTAGCTGATGATCTAAACTCGGATCTCCAGGACATATCTCTGCCCAGTCCCGTTGTGGAAACCGCGGGACACCATTTGGTCTCCAGCAGCCTGCTCCTCCCTGAGAACGATAGAATGTTCAGGGAATGGCATGTCGGGCTCCTGGATCGGTGGGATTCAGGTCTTGTAGATTCATAGGATTATCGTGCAGCGTATCCAAGCCTTGCAAATATAAACATCCAAGACTAACAAATCTTGAAGATTTAAAAAAAAGAATGCTAAATGACTGACATGGGAAGTGAGCAGCAAATGCAAGGCCCTGCGGTTGCTGCCTTGAAGCGTGCGATGGTCACTGTGCGTGCACTGTGAATATGTGTGCTGGGCTGTGGTCGATGCACAGTGTTATTAATCAACCTTCCTACTCTCCTTGAACTGCGCCTCAGAGTTCACACCTTTCACTTATCCAACTCCTGACACCACCAGGACGTTCCATCGACATATCTCCTTAATTCACCACAGATATTGCTGCCCAAATCTTTATCAGATGGAATCGTCCTTTCCCTTTACATTCATTAGTTGAGTAAGGAAACCAGCGGTTTCTAGCATCTATAAGCATGGCGCCATCATCAGCTTATCACTATATTCCTGTCGGCTCCGTATCAATTTCGCAGGACCAAAGCAATCTGGAACCCGACTACTGGGGCTCGGATCATCTTCGACAATGGGTATGGCTTTCCCGAACTACAGATATACACCATCCAGGCGCGCCAGCCTACACTCAGCCTACAATCCCTGATGTGGCCCAGAGACAGCTTCTGGGCTCCCCAGAACTCAGCCACTACAGACGCCTATTCCAATACAAATGGGCCAACCTCCAATTCAAAATACACAGCACTAATCATGGAACTCTGAGGGTGTATCTCCTCCCAGACGATGTAGCTCACCGGGCCATAGACCGTACCGACGTTGGCTTGCAGAGGGCCAAGCAAGCTATTCTAAACTCAATCGACTACTCGGCTTCTGGATGGAATGGCCATCCACTGGATATGTCTACAGATCCAATACCTTATCAGAATACTGACATGGATGCGAACACTCAAGAGATGACATTGCTTCAGCTATTCAATAGGCTCAACTCACCAAACCCAGACCCAAACATTGTTTCCAATGCTGGAGCGCAAAACGGAATGTATTCCTTGCTGGAAAGTAGAATAGATGGCTTAAAGACAGATTTATATCCACACCAACGGCGCTCGTCGGCATTGATGCTCCAAAAAGAATCCCAACCGGGCCAAACTCTAGATCCTCGGCTGCAGCATGTTCGAGATCAGAATGGCGAAGGTTGGTATGTGGATCTCGTCACTGGCAGCATTCTGAAGGAGCCTCGGTACTATGATGGTATATCGGGAGGTGTCCTAGCAGAGGAGATGGGTTCCGGCAAAACCCTGATCTGCCTCGCTCTCATATTGGCCACCAAGCAAGTCTCTGCCAGTGCTCCAGAGATCTATGGGGTAGGGCATGCTCCTACCCGTCCCAAGATCGCCTCGCTAGCTGAAATGGCTGCTTCGTGCGCAAACCGAAATTCTGTTCCTTGGAAAACCTACTTCGACTCTTACGCCTCAGAATATGGCTATGAATTCCCCGAGTGTGTCAATGCGCTCGAGAGAAACCCTGGATATTACTTCGTCCCGGCACCAGAAACCCGTCGTTGCGCAAGGCATAGGAGCCAATACCCCTTAATTGCCACCAAGAAGGTCTTCTTGAGTGCAACAAGCCTTGTGATTGTTCCAAACAACTTGGTTAATCAGTGGCGCGAAGAAATTCTCAAGCACACTAATGGCCTTAACACCCTTATTCTAACCAAACATACTCCGATACCCCCAAGTGAGGACATTATCAAGTATGACATGCTCCTATTCCCCCAAGGTCGATTCGAAATGATCTCGAGGGAACCTGGGGGGATGGCCGGATCGTCTCTATCAAAAGTTCATTTCCAGCGTTGCATAGTAGATGAAGGGCACAGGCTGGGAAATTCGAGGATCTCTGCTCGAAGCGTGCTCCTGACCAACCTCGACGAGTTACAATGTACTTCACGCTGGATAGTTACGGGTACACCCTCACACGGCTTATTCGGACAAGAAAATGACACCATGGACACAGCAAGCCAGGTCACCTCCAACGGAAATGGGTCTGAAGGGGGCCATGATTCAGATCCACCTTCGAATAAGTTGGAGATGAAGGACCTGGAGAGGATTGGGTCGATAACAGCGCTCTACCTTAAAGCTCGACCGTGGGCAAACACTAGTACTGAACAAGGTGACACGCTTGCTGACTGGAAGACTTATCTGATGCTTCCGAAGCACAACTCGAGAAGTCGTGGCCGCTGGGACTGTTTGAACACGACTCTGAATTCATTAATCATCCGTCATAAGGTGGCGGAGATTGGAGAGCTTCTGCCGTCTGTAAAAGAAGACGTGATATACTTGGAAGGGTCATACCAAGACCAACTTAGCACGAATCTCTTCTCCATGATGATTATATTCAACGCAGTGCAGTCTCAACGAACTGACCAGGACTATTTCTTCCATTCAAAGCAGAGGAGCAGTCTCTTGGAGATTGTACATAACTTGAAACAGGCGAGTTTTTTTGGAGGCTCTTTCTTTTCAGCACAGGAGATTGAGAAGGCTGTGCACACAGCTGAAGAGTTTCTCAAGGAAAAGAAAGTAGAATGCAGTCTTGAAGATCAGCAGTTGCTTCAAGAGGCAATCAATCTTGGCCATTTAGCAGGTCGCAATGTCTTGCGAAATCTAAGCAATCTGTATCACGAGATGCCCATATGCGTCCAAGACCTCCCAGCCGATTCAGGATCGTCCTGGTGTCTAGGCGAAGCCTCTGACGGAACCGGGACATGCACTTCAGCCAGTCTTCTCCTCAGTTTGCAAAGCATAGTATACAATTCATTGAGGGATCCTGCCAAATTCAATGCGCTTCTCAATGGAGGTCTGGCCTCGGAAGGCACCTTGGAAAAGAAGAAACTTCTCGATTCTCAAACCCCGGCGGAAGAAACCCCAAGCGAGAGCCGCCGCTCGCCAACCCTCGCTGGCAACACCAAAATAGGTCACGATAACGCTCGAAAACATCATAAACACGTCGTCAATCGTCTCAAGCCCATTGACGAGCTGGAATCAAATACTTTCTCGCATGTACTTGATCCAGCCCGGATTACAGCGACGGTCTCGGCGAAATTGTCATATTTACTGGACAATATCATCAGGTACCAAGACGAGGAAAAAATCATCGTCTTTTACGAAAATCAAAACACCGCTTGGTACTTGGCCAGTATGTTGGATGTAGTACGTATTAGCACAGAAACCACCTCGATCTAAACGAATAACTAACACAATAGCGCAAAGGTTCAAGTACAATATCTTATTTATGCCAAAACCTTATCGGTAGAACGGAGGGCGCAATATATTAAGACTTTTAATCACAACTCAAAATTTAGGTCTGTCAAGTCTTGGCCGTTTCCCTCCCGAGATCCTCCTTATATTAACAAAGGTCTTACCCAGGGTTCTCCTTATGGATCTATCGCAAGCCGCCTTCGGCCTAGATATGCGCGACGCGTCGAGGATCTACTTCATCAGCCCGGTCCTGAACCCCCAGGTCGAGGCGCAGGCCATAGGGCGTGTGCGAAGAATAAGCCAGAACAAACCCGTGTCCGTGGAGACTCTTGTGCTACGGAACAGTCTCGACGAGGTCATCCTCGAGCGCAAGCTGCAAATGACCCAGGCCGAGCATCGGCAGACCAAGACGATCCTGGACATCCCTTCCATTTACAATTGGATCAAGAACGCTAAGATCACGCCTCTTCCCGAGTGCTCGGAAGATCAGGTCTCGCAAATGTCTAACCTCGTCCTCTCACATCACGTCTTTGGGCGCGGTTTTGGGAGGGTTGTTCACCCTGATGAGGACCTTGCTCCCAGCAGCCCAGTGAGGCCATCGAGAAGCGATCTCGCGCACTCTAATCTGGATCAAAACGGCCAAAAGCGACCATACGAAGCGGGTCCCGGCAAGTTCATGCGTCAAGAGCGGATTGTTTCAAGTGCGAATAGAATAGAGCTGGAATTAGAGCTTCCTGCTCGTCCCACACGGAGGGTCAAATTTTCTGTGGATTAGGTACATATGCAAATTAGAAAACCAAATCTATATAGTCGAAAGTCCATTGGTGTAAAGGAGTTTGCATGGAATTTTCCTGTGGCTGCATGTCGAGTCTATTAGGCAGTCGAGTCTGGAGAAATGAGGCTGATGCACAATGACATGCCTACAAGACAACCTATTTCATTTTATTAAGTGTCTGAGTGGAACAATTCATAAATTCCTGGGGCCACACCATAACATGAAGTGACAGAAAAAAATGGCCCAAGACAGCATATGCGCATACCGAGTCGGACGTGCTACGTGTTTGTGTAGCGATGCGGGGGCTGCAGGTGTAAGGCAAGGAATCAATACAAAGCTGTTCCTATACTGACTGTCGAAACCATATACTGTTCAGTTACTGATCTCAACACTGAACTAAGTTTTTCCTGCGCTACGTTTCAGACTTGTCCATTGTTGTTTGTTTTTCTTCACTACTTCGAGTGCTTATGAAGAAGGAACCTTTGAACTCGGTGTGTCAATTTCCAGGCCGCGCACTTGTGTGGTAAGAAAATACTGGAGCAATGTTGGCTGGCTGGCCAGTAGCTGCTGTTCATTGAAAGCGGCAATGTCTCCAAAGGCCCAATCAACTCATTTCAATGATGACCTGCAGCTAGTTAGTGAAACGATAGAGCAGGTCCTTTTCTGACCAGCCGCGCGCCGGGGGTGAGAAGATGACCAGTCATTGACTTCAGCCAAGCCAGCGCAGACCTGAACAGCAGCAGCAATAAGCGCTCACGACGCGCATAAACTCGGGCATTGTTCCGGCCACTTCATTGGCCGCCCAAACCACAAAGCTCCATGCTTTGCCCTTCACTCTGCTGCTGGGGGCGGCCCGATGCCACCACAAGATTCTGATCTAGGCTCCTTTGCCTTCATGTTGACATGTGGACGTGCATTGTCGAGGTGGCCCAAGCAGGTTTCAAGCCGCCCACGGGCATGTCTTGGTGCATAGCTCGAGTCGAGGGGACAACGCCGTCCCAATCATTTCCCTCCCTGCCCCCGTTAATACTGTGGAATTGGTGCAGACGTACATAATCTAGGCGGCCCTTTGCCTCTCGTTCAAACGCTCGTCTCTCCCAACCTCACCGACCCTCCCAACCACACCAGCAAAGTGCCAGCCGGTTTTAGTGTGTGAAATCTGACACTGCAACAGTCTGACTCAACCCCAAGCACGCCGGCCCGCGCGTCGCAGGCTAGACGAGAGAGAGAAAGAGAGAGAAGAGGGGTCGCGCCGGGACAATGTGGAACGACAACGAGCGATACGAGCGCAGGAGCAGTGGTGGTGGTGGTGGCGGCGGTGGAATCATCAGCCGCCTCTTCGGGTCGAAACGCAGGTCGCTCCCAGCCCTGGAGGAGCTGGACGAGAAGCAGCTCGCTGAGGATCTGAGGCGGCATGTGTGGGCGGTGGCCATCGCGGGGAACGAGAATCCCATGCCGGTAATTAACAAGGAATTTCCATCCCAGCGATATTCCGCTGATCTTGGGTATGTACCTGCCTGTTTTCCTTTGCTCAATCTCCCCGCCCGAGTCCTGTATTATGTTATCGAGGAAACCTGTTACACCGCATGTGTGTCCCGGCCGGGCGTTCCTCCGGGAGTTGGCTGGTTGCACCTGCACTTTTGGCCCCCCAAACCTGGTGCCCACGGCTATGGGATCGGGGAAAGTGGCCCCTAAAACCCACTAGGCCGGTACAGGTCGCATAGAGGGTGGTAGTCTCCAGGGTCGTCCACAGGTACCTCGCACAGCCAGTGGGCTGCAGATCGCTACATGGGCTGTACTGCTCGGGGTACCCAGCCCTGCGCGGCATCTACCAGGCAGGCACCGGCCATGCACTGCACATCGTCCTTGCCCTGCGAGGCAGGCAGAACATGGGATGGGGCGATTTGGAAACCTCCCATGATTCGAACGGTGATGCAGAGCCTGGCGCATAGGTCAAAGCGGACGGCCCAAGCAGTCGACTTGCCCATTGCGTGCGCGTGGTCAATCCGACTCGGCCTGGCCTGGCCCGTTTGATTAGATTTCCACAATTTCCTCCTTGCGATCGCCCATGCCACCCCATGCGCTAGGTGGTGCCAAGCAACAAGCCAGTCAGAGCTGGACTGGCGGACCTGAACTGAGTCTGGGTTGTGCGCGACGACCCTGAATAAAAGGACCGGCTCAGTCTGCAGTCCAGTAACTCAGCTCTGTGGGGGAACGAGAATGTCGTGCGACTGCCTACATCTGCATCGGGCGCGAGGCTCATTCGTCCTCCATCGTACTGCCTAGCCGGAGTCTGCCCTGCAGTCGCCTTGTCGATTCTTCATTTCTGCTTCTTTTTTGTCTTCGGCGCCTTGTCACCACCCTGCAGATCCAAATCTACCTACCTAATGTTTAGCTAACTAATACCGCCGCAAGACGCCCCAGGTCAAACAAATCATACCACAAGCGACGTTCGGCCTCGACATCTACACTGCCAATTCTTACCTCTCGACACATCGCCGCTTACCACCCACCCGGGTCCAAACCGGTAAGGAGCAAAACTTTGGCCGGCACCATGGCGCGAACGGTTACGATCCAGCCCATAAAGACGTCGCGCTTCGACAATGGCCCTGCTTCTCCCACCTCCCCCTCGTCGCCGGGCTTAGATCCCATTCACGAAGATGATTTCTTCGCCGAGATACCTACTCGCCACTCCAGCATATCTCAGGCTTCCGTCATTCAGTCCCCAACCCTGAAATCTTCCGAGTCTTTCCCCCCAGTTGCGCTCAACTCACCTCGGAGGTTCTCGAGTGGCTCCTCGGCCACCTCCTCGACTATGTTATCGCGGGAGAGTATTCGGTCGGAGATGGCACGCAGTTCTTCTTGGAGTAGCAAAACCAGCTTCGATTCCTTCGAGTCCAGCCAGTGGAAGCCAGGCGACCCACGACAGAAACGAACATCCCCGAGCACACGGCAGCGATCATTCTCACAGCCCAACGAATTGTTTGCCGCACTGCCCGCCGAGGTGTTGGAGGTCATTCTGGGAATGTTGAAGCAATCGCATATCGGGAGGGGTAGTAGCAGTTGCGCCACATGCTGGATGCGAGACCTGTCTAACATTAGTTTGTGCTCACGCAAATGGAATGCATTTGCCCGGGTTGCTTTGTAAGTTGTTACACTACTTATCCCTTGCGGGGGTATCCAAGTACCCAATACAGCATGTGCTAACTTGGCCACCACAGATACGAAGACATCCAACTGATTGGAGCGGACTCGGCGGCGCACAAGAAACGGTTCAAGCAGCTTCATGGCGCACGGCTTCTCCTCCTTCGCCAGACTCTCCGAGTAAATCCTCGTCTTGCGAGCCTCGTGCGATCACTCAAGGTGCCTAGGCCTGATACAACACTCAAGGGAATGAATTCCAAGATCCTCGAACAGTACGATGACTTGATAGCGACCATAGTTATGGCTTGTCCCAACCTGGAGTCGTTGCGTGGGCCTATGTTTGGATATGACGGCTCGTTCAAGAAGATTTTCCATGCGCTCTCAACCAGAAAGCAACTCAAGGAAATGGATTGGCTGGTCGAGCCCTCTATATTTCAAAAGCAACAGAGGGGAACTCAAGGATCGGTTACCCGAAACAGCAACGACTCATCTCTCCCACCCAAATTGGAAAGGCTACAGGAGAGGACCTTTTTGGACCATTTTCGGAATTGGTCCAAACTAAATAGCCTCTCTGTACACTGCCTTCCCGGCGCGACCCTCGCTCCCGATAACCTTCTCACGAAATCTTTCAGGATGCTTCCTTCGCTTCAAAACCTTCATTTGTGCAGTGTTCCGCCGAATGTTTTCAATGATACCACTCTACTACTGCTTCCCCCGGTTGAAACTCTCTCTCTCACGCACATCACTGGTATTACGTCGAATGGTATCTCAGCCTTTGCCACTTGCGCTAGCAGCCAGCCATTAAGAAAGCTATATCTTCACCATACGCCTATGACCTCCCTCCCCGCCCTGGCTCGCATCCTCTCCAACCTGCCGAAGCTCTCAATCTTTTCCCTAGCTCAAGCTTTCCCTCCGCTCATGCCGGAGGCTGATTCGTTCATGTTGTGGATGATGCCCTATCTTGCCTCGACGAGTGTCACTAAGCTTCATTGGGACATCACAAGCGACAGTGACTGCGCCAATTCGGCAGATGACATATTAGCAAGAAGTATACAAACTGGCGGCTTCCCTCAGCTTCGGTTGCTTAGAACACCAAATGACCCAGAAGGCATATTCCAGGATTTGTGCCGGCCAGTGGAGAGGATTGATCTCCCCACCGATCGCTTCAACATTGCCGAGGCACCCCTGTCGCCCATCGAGGCTACGGTTCCCACATCCCCTCCTCGGTATCTCCAGAAGCCGCCCATGTCACCCAAATCGCCACCCTTGCCATCCCCAACAGAGGCTTCCAACAGAACGGCGTTTTGTACAGACCTTCGCGCTGCCCGGCTGGCTGCTCAATCTCGCCTCGAAAAGGCCGAGACTAAACCCCGGTTTAACGTTTTTGTTATGGATGAGGATGGCTCGATGGTGGATCGGTTTGGGTTAGCCGGGTTCATTGGGACCTTGGGAAGTAATATCAGGTACCATCTACTCCCCGATGCAGGTTCAATGGATAAGAAGGGCGGCATGGTCGATCCTCGAGATCTGGCCGGCGACGCCGGGGAGGATCTCGCCAACGGCAAGGAAGGTTGCACTGGCACCTGGAACCAACGCGAGGGTGTCATTGCTGACAAAAAGGAGAAAGAGAAATGGTGGCATACAGAGAGGGGTCGATGGACAAGGGTAGAGATGCCCTCCTAAACACCTGCGAACGACATCTGCCGCAGTCCAGTCCAAGACGCAACTCCATTGAGCATTGGCCTATGTCCAATTTTGATACTGCCCTGGAATTCCGGGTCTGCTGGTCTGTTGGACATGGATTTACGAATAATTATTTTCCAATTAGCACATTAAGCATACACGAATATAGCGAATGATTGAAGTAATGAAACTGGGATGTGTGAACGGGACAATTTCTTGTCGTCGCTGTGGCATTGGAAAGTGCAAAAACTTTATAATAACAGGAGATAGATAGATACATCAATTGTATCTTTGTTAATATTTAATGATCAACCTAATCCAAAAAATGTTCCTTCATCTCATCTCATTGACATTATGCAGAAAATACCATCATATATGCCTTCTTGATCATGATGCCATCCATGCTGTAGTAGTGGTAATAGTAGTAAAAATCTTTTTATCCATCTTTTTCCCAGAGATCGAGTAAAATAAATGACCTCTTTCAGGTTTTCCGAAAATCATAGTCCAAAAAAAGAAGTAGGAGAGAAGAAAAAAACAATGACGGAGAAAATGACAGGGCAAATGTCAGCAAGACACACAATGGCAACTCCATAAACACTCGGCCAACCCTTTTTTAAGTGTGGAAACTCGTCTTTAGTCATATTCCCGGACTAACCAGTAGAAAAAATGCCGGGAAACCGCTCCATTAAAATGCAATATTAAAAGAAAAACCTCTTCTTTGCAGGCTGCTTCTTCTTGTTATTATCCTGCAAGATATCATCAAATGTAGCACCGCTGCCCTCTTGGGTGGGTGACTCTATTTTGTTTTGTTGCTGCTGTTGGTGCTGCAGATTCATAGCTGCCAGGTTGCCGACAGAGTGGCTGCTTCTCATTCCAAGTGCGCTGCTCATAGGTCGCGGTCCCGATGAGCTACTGCGCTGGTGGCCGCCAAACACGTTCGGGGGCTGCATGGGTACAGGCTCAAGGCCAATGGCAATACTGGACCGGAAAGCGTGGCTGGCGCGGCTACCAGCCGGCGAGAGTGTGCGTGGCCGAAGCACAACAGAGGGTGAGCGAGGAGGCGTTGATGTGCCACCCATAGATGGCGGGCCTGGGGCATAGTACTCATTTGCTCCGAGGAAAGAAGGAGGGGGCTCCAAGGCACCCAGGGCAGGCTCTTCAAAGACAGGAGCTTCTGCACCAGGGACGCCCTCCCATGATTTTGCAGCCAGCCAGCAGTGGCTACGATGATAAGTAGCCTCCACACTGAAAAGAACGGCGTCTGTGGAGAGCTCAACCAGACCACCTCCTCCGGCAACTTCGTACCACATCTTCTGCACCTGGCGATCCTCGATCCACGGTGGGTTGCCCATGGGGGGTTCGCACAGGAAATATTCGGTACCTTCAGTGAATTTCACGCCTGGAGCATCAATGACCAGCATGGGAAGCGACTGGATAACGACATATAGGAACAGCCAGTAGCCGACACGTTGGTCCGCCATTTCGCTCTGGGTCTTACCACGGGCCTCACGCACTTCGAATGCTTTAAATTGGTCCAAGAAAGGAAGCTTGAGACGGTTGGTGTCATAGTTGTAAGCCTTGTTCAGAACCAGGATCAGTTCATGCTCCTTAATTTTCTTATCGAACTTGAGCTGGCCCTTAGAGCCAAGACTGCCATACGCCTCAAAAATTGAGGTCATCGAGGGCAATTGGGGCAGATCGTATGGAATGGGCGGAAGCACAGGTGGTCGGGATCGGTCAAATTCCGACATGATGTTCCGAAGGGCCGACGTAAGCATCTTATCCGCATCCTCTGACATAGCCGGTACCTCATCCATCACTCTTGAAGTCAAATTCGTGCGATCAACAAGCAAATCGTAGAGGGCGCA